AAGACCCCCGTGTAGCCTTAACAGACTGTTGGGGCAAGTGCTGTTAGCGAGCAGCAATGAAGGCCAGCACGGCACACGAGTGGGTGGGTGGCCAGCACCACGCCCGACCGCCTTTGTCTCCCCAGTGGCGATGTTCACACACCGCATCAGGTACTCATCGACGAAGCGGAGAGGCCCAGGACCGGTTCAGATAATCGTCGCCGGTGTTGGCCGTGAATGGGAATCGGATTCGTAGCGCGGCGCGCTCCCCATTCGGCAGGCAGGCAGCCGAGTGGTGCAGTCAAGGGCCGGAGCGACCCCTGGTGGCGAGCGGCGAGGGCGCTGTCCTGGCGAGGCTGTAGCGGGGCGTCAATGTGTGTGCAGCGTCAATGTGTGTGTACGTGTATGTTGAACCTCTTTCGCACCGTACGTGGAGGTGTGGGGGGAGGGGCAACAAAAACGAAACACACTAAAAGCTGTTCTCAAGATATGCATTTGCGAATCTAGATCATGATAACGATGTAAAAGCGCATATCTCCCTGTGGCTTCCTCACATCGAAAGGAAGAGCGTTCCAGACGGCCGCTGAAGCGCATCCGAAAGCGCCGCGCGGTGCGGTGACCGCCGCCGTTGTTCGCTGCTGCTGCGTGTTCGTCTCCGTCGTCGTGTTTACACTCAGCGCAGACACAGCAGCCCGTGTGGGACCCTGCCCCAGTTGAGTGAAGTCTCGGTTCTGTGACTTTCTGTTCAGTCGTGCTCAGTCGAGTAACACACTGCGTCTTACTTACCATTAACACGACTGTATGTACGTGCGTATGTATTTAACACGTAGGCTTTCGCGATCAATATTATTCATAATGTAGGTTTTTGGGTCAGATCGCGTTATGTATAAATGTGTCGTAACACTCCTTTGAAAAACGTGACACATTTTTTACTGTTTGGCCGTGTCGGGTGGTGGAAGGTTACGACACATTTATAAATAACGCGATCCCACCCAAAAACCTATATTATGTGCGTATGTATGTTGGACTTCTTTCGCACCGTACGTAATAAGCGATACTTACGAGTTTCGTGTCTGGATCCTGTCTGTACTCCTCGCCACCCCAACGATGACTCTGTTGTTGTTGTTATTGTTGTTGTTATTGTTGTTAGTGGCTGCTGCGGGGTCGTTTGCCACGGAAGCTAGCTGGGTAACTGGCTACACGGGATTTTCTGTGCAACAAATACCGATTGAGTTGCGTTGAAACGTCGGAAGAAACATTTCGGAAGATATTTAACAATAATAATAATAACAATAGACAGACAGCGACACCAAAGAGGTGTGATTTTGTAGCGCTGGTGCAAGTGGTGATGATGACGGTGCTGGTTGTGGTAGTGATGCTGATCATGGTGGTAGTGGTGATGATGGTGGTGGTGCTAGTGGTGATGATGGTGGTTGTGATGATGATGGTGGCAGTGGTGATGATTGGGGTGGCTGTGATCATGGTGGTAGTGGTAATGGTGGTAGTGGTGATGGTGGTGATGATGGCGGTGCTGGTGGCAGTGGTGATGATGGTGGCTGTGCTCATGTTGGTAGTGGTGATGGTGGTGGCTGTGCTCATGTTGGTAGTGGTGATGGTGGTAATGATGGCGGTGCTGGTGGTAGGGGGCACGGAGGGTGGGGGGCCCTGAAGGAGTGGAGACGCTCAGGTAGTGTGGAGTGCACGCTGGCTGGTGGGTGGGGAGGGGGGCAGAGCCCCCCACTGTCTGCATCACAAACCCCCACCCTTGGACTCAGCCTACCCCCCTCGCGTAAATAATTCACGGAGGCACCAATCGATAGATGAGTGGCAAGGGGCTGAGAGTGTGCGTGTGTGGTCGAAATGGGTGCGCGCACGTGCGCGTGCGTGCGCGCGCGAGTGCGGAGCGGTGGCGCAGCGATCAGCGCACTGCGCTACGAACCCAGTGACCCGAGTTCGATTCCCGCGCACGGCCACCAACACCAGTGATGACGACGATGATGATCTGAACCCGTCATGGGCACCCCCCTAGGTCGACTCAGCCTTAAATGAGTACGCGGTGCGCTGTGTAAAACACCAGTAGTGGGGAGACAAAGGGGGTCGGGCGGGGTGCTGGCCACCCAACCACCGACTTAAGTGCCGTTCCGACCTTCATAGGTGCTCGTTTAACAGGACTTGCCCCAACTGTCTGTTAACACTATACGGGGGATCTTTGTCTTTGTGCGCGAGTGCCGATCGGTGGCGATTCCCACTCACGGCCAACATGAGGAGCACGTGCTATCGCAACCTGACCTGGGCCTGTCCCATACCGAGACTCCAATGGAGCGGGGCAGGGCGATGCTGCTCTCGCCACCACCCCCTCGTGTGCCGTGCCGGCCTTCATAGGTGCTCGCTAACAGCACTTGCCCCAGCAGCCTGTGTAGGCTATACGGGGGATCTTTGTGTGCGCAGTAGTGTCGTGGTTAGCGCACTGCGCTACGAACCCGAGTTCGATTCACGCTCACGACCAACTCCATTGACGATTATCTGAACCGGTCCTCCCCTGGGTCGACTCAGCATCAAATGAAACTGGTGTGTAAACATCTTCATTCGAGAGACAAAGACGACCGGGCGTGGTGCCGGCCACCCACCCTCTCGTGTGTCGTACCGGCCTTCATAGGTGCTCGCTAACAGCACTTGCCCCAGCAGCCTTGTGTAGGTTATACGGGGGATCTTTGTCTGTGTGTGCATGAAGTAAATGGCTGTACCAGTGGAATTTTACTTTAGAACAAGGCTGATGGATTGTGCGGATGCGGTCAAGGGATGGCTTCCTATTGATCTATCACGTCTGGAAATATCTGCTCACTTTGAGAATGAGTTGGAGACACTATTGCTGACTCTGGACCGTGCTACCACCATAAGAGGTGGGGCCTCACCATCAGCCCCACGCACACACACACAGCCCCTTGCCTGGGTACGTTGTGTCATCGAACACTCCACCCACTCATCCCTCCACGAGTCATTGCGGAGGGAGTGGAGGAGTTCCAATACCTAGGCCAGGGTCTCGGCAACCTGCAGGTCCGGAGTTGAATGCGGCTCTTCGAGGACCGCGCCGTGATGTTGTTTATTGAGGATGCGTCGTCTCGTATTCGCCACACGGTGCACTGCGGCTCTTGAAATATCGAGGGTTGATTTTTTTGTTTGTTACCGAATTCGAAAAAAAAATGTTTTTTTGGTTGCCGACCCTTGACCTCGTCAGCGTGCTCGTTACCAGCTCCAGTTTGGCAGCAGAGGTCTCGCTCCGAATTACCGTAGCGACATATTTTAATCGGCTGCGTGACGCTGTGCTAATGCTTCCTTGTTTCTCGCTCCACACGAATCCTCAGGTTCTTCCCAAACCAAAGTTATGCCCTCCCTTCTCTATGCTTGCAAAACTTGGACCCATTTATAGGAACATCTGCTGCGGGTTGAAATATTCAGGCTGGCCCTGCCTACGATCCATACTGGGTTTAACCAAACTGGATTACAGTGTGAGGAGCTCACAGATCCTTAAAGGCTCTGGACGCAGCCCCATCAGTGATCTCCTCCAGCAGGCAAGGCTGCGTTGGCTGGCTCAGCCACCGCATGGCCAAGCAGCTTCTGTTCAGCCGGATGGCAGAGGGGGCTAAACGGGCGTGGCACGGGCTCGAGAAGCGATGGGCTGATGCGGTCCGTGAGGATGTGGAGCTTATTGGTTTTGCCGGTGACTGGTACCAGCGGTGTCAAGATCGACCTCTGGACAGGAGGCTCGTGAAGGACGCTGCTGTTGGAGGCAGTCGCCCTCCAGCAACAACGGATGGCGGAGGAGTGACGCTCACAACAACGAGCTGAGCGCCGTGCGGATAAAACGCAGTGAGTTGGCACATTGGGGAAACACAGTTATATATGTATGTGTGTTTAACTTCTTTCACTCCGTACGTAGCAAACCGTGCTAATTGGAGATGCGAGAGAAAGACAACAAACTGGACACAGTCATTCCAGTCAGCAGCGAGCCTTCCACACTTCACGTGGCTTCAAAGTGCACCTAGCCTGGTACAAGCCCATTGGAGACGTCATTTCGTGGCGACTGGTGGCTTTTGCGTGAGTGATTGTGGTGTGTGTGGGTGTTTGCGGTGGTGGCGGTGGTGGCCGTGGTATGACGGTGGTGAGTGGTGCGACTGGCGTGTGTGTTCGTGGTGAGTGGTAGTTGTGGTGTTGTGTGTGTGCACAAAACACACACAATACACACACAATACACACACACGCACATCCCAACACTCCCCACCCCGCCATACACACACCCCAGACACACACCCCAGACGCACACCCCAGACACACAAAGACAAGGTTCCCCCGTGAAGCCTTCACAGACTGTGGGGGCAATAAAGGCACGGCACATGATAGGGTGGGTGGCTAGCACCACGCCCGACCACCTTTGTATCCCGAGTGGCTACACCTACACATTGCAACAGGTACTCATTCGAGGCTGAGTTGACCTTGGGGAGGCCCAGAACCGGTTCAGATAAGATAATCATCACCGGTGTTGGTGGCCGTGAGCGAGAATCGAACTCAGGCCGCCGGGTTCGTAGCGCAACGTAGCGCTAACCACTGCACCACCGCTCCCCTCACACACAAAAGACAAAGATTCACCGTATAGCCTGGACAGACTGTTGGGGCAAGTGGTGTTAGCGAGCACCTCCCTTCACACGCACGCGCACACACACACGCACCCGTACAACCCAGTCTCATCTCTGCACCTGCTCCCTCTCTCTGATGCTGCAGATGGTTCCCTCCCCCCTCCATCCCCTACCACCCCCTCCCCCCTGTCTCTCACTCCCCCGTCATCACCCCCCCCCCCGCTCCTCCTTTCACCCCCCCTCCCCCTCCTCTCCCAAATCCCCTCCGCGGACGCGTGGAGCTCATCTCGGGGCGGAGCCGCTCATCCCGTGGTGGGGGGTCAGAGGGGAGGGGGGAGAGTCGGGATTGGGGGGACGAGGGGGAGGGGAGTCAGGATTGGGGGGGGGGCAGTGGGGGGGGGGCTGTGGGGGGAGCTGCACCGTGCAGCCGCTGCCGTCACTCGAATGCGGCTCCACTCTCCGCGATCTCATCTCCACCTCCTCATCACAATCCTCCTCGCCATCTCCTCCTATCCTCTCTCCCCTCATCTCCCCCCATCTCCCCTCATCTCCCCCCATCTCCCCCCATCTCCCCTCATCTCCCCTCATCTCCTCTCTCCCCGCATCTGTCGACGCTCCGTGTCTGCGACTTCGCGAGCCCAGGTGAATCGGTGGGAACCGGGAGCCTGCGTCTGCCTCCTTGTGTCTTGAGCTCTCCGTGTCTCTGTCTCCCCCTGTGTCTCTGTCTCGTGTCTGTCTCTCTGTCCTGTCTCCCTGCCTCTCCCCTGTCTCTCTGTCTCGTGTCTGTCTCTCTGTCTCTCCGTGTCTGTCTCTCTGTGTCACTGCCTCCCTGTGTCTTGAGCTCTCCGTGTCTCTGTCTTCCCGTCTCTCTGTCCCGTGTCTGTCTCTCTGTCCTGTCTCCCTGTGTCTCTCCCCTGTCTCTCCCCTGTCTCTCTGTCTCGTGTCTGTCTCTCTGTCTCTCCGTGTCTGTCTCTCTGTGTCACTGCCTCCCTGTGCCTTGAGCTCCTCGTGTCTCTGTCTCTCTGTCTCTCCCCTGTCTCTCTGTCTCGTGTCTGTCTCCCTGTGTCTCTCCCCTGTTTCTCTGTCTCGTGTCTGTCTCCTTTTGTCTATCCCCTGTCTCTCCCCTGTCTCCCTGTGTCTATCCCCTGTTTCTCTGTCTCGTGTCTGTTTCTCCGTGTCACTGTCTCCCTGTGTCTATGTGCCGTATCCCTGTCTCCCTGTCCCGTGCCTCTGACTCTGTGTCTCTGTCTCTCCAATGTCTCTGTCTCTCCAATGTCTCTCGTCTCGTCGTCTCTGGCGCTCCTCAAGTGTCGGCATTGTTTCGACACTCACCCCTTCCTCACCCTCTCATCATTCAACCCCTAAACCCTCACCCGTCACTCACCCTCTCAGCATCCTCCCCTTCCATCACCCCTCACCTCGTCACCCTCTCAGCATTCTCCCCTTCCATCACCCCTCACCTCGTCACCCTCTTAACATTCACTCACTCCCTCACCCTCTCAAATTCCACCCCCTTCACTCACCCCTCACCCTTTCAACATTCACCCTTTCACTCACCCTCACCCCCTCACCCTATCAACATTCACCCTCCCCTCACCCCTCACCCCTTCCCTCACCGCTCACCCCATAGTCGATAAGTAATTTTCACAGAGCAAACAGCGGGAGGCGCCCAAGGCGAGGCTGGAATGCTGATGCCCCAGTGGTCGATGTGCGCGTGGTGATGTTGGGTGATGTTGGGTGATGTTTCTGTGTTGATGTTGGGGTGATGTTGATGTCCCAGTGGCCGATGTGCGCGTGGTGATGTTGGGTGATGTTTCTGTGTTGATGTTGGGGTGATGTTGATGTCCCAGTGGCCCATGTGCGGATGTGCGCGTGGCGATGTTGGGTGATGTTGAGGTGATGTTTATGTGTTGATGTTGAGGTGATGTTGGTATATCAGTGGTCGATGTGCGCGTGGTGATGTTGGGTGATGTTGGGTGATGTTTCTGTGTTCATGTTGAGGTGATGTTGATGTCCCAGTGGTCGATGTGCCTATCTGTGTGTGTGTTGATGTTGGGGGATGTTGATGTGGCGATGTTGTGATGGTGATAATGTACTGATGTGTGGTAATGTCAGGGGATATTATGGTGATGTGATGCTGTTTGTGCGGTCGTGATGTTGTGTTGATGTTGTGTTGATGTTGTACGTGGTGATATTCGCGAATGTTGTGATGATGTTGCAGTGACGTCTGCATGGTAATGAGGTGTGTGTGTGTTGTGGTAATGCTGTGTTGATGTTAACGATGTTGATGGTGTGGGGGCGGTGATGTTGGTCAGCATGGCGGCCCCTTCTCTCTGCCTGCTGGTGCTGCTGCTCGCCGTCTCCCGCGCTCTCCACGCGTTCCCTGCCGACGTCGACCCCATCACCATCACTGTCGGCAGAGGTGAGGCATGCTCACCCCATCTCACCCCTCGCCTCACTCACTCACCCCGCCCCTCACTCACCCCGAGCCTCACTCACCCAGAGCCTCACTCACTCACACCGCGCCTCACTCACCCCGAGCCCCACTCACCCAGAGCCTCACTCACCCAGAGCCTCACTCACCCCGCCCCTCACTCACCCCGCCCCTCACTCACCCAGAGCCTCACTCACCCCGCCCCTCACTCACCCAGAGCCTCACTCACCCCGCCCCTCACTCACCCCGCCCCTCACTCACCCAGAGCCTCACTCACCCCGAGCCTCACTCACCCCGCCCCTCACTCACCCCGCCCCTCACTCACCCCGAGCCTCACTCACTCACCCCGCCCCTCACTCACCCCGCCCCTCACTCACCCCGAGCCTCACTCACCCAGAGCCTCACTCACCCCGCCCCTCACTCACCCCGCCCCTCACTCACCCAGAGCCTCACTCACCCCGCCCCTCACTCACCCCGAGCCTCACTCACCCCGAGCCACACTCACTCACCCCGCCCCTCACTCACCCCGAGCCCCACTCACCCAAAGCCTCACTCACCCCGCCCCTCACTCACCCCGCCCCTCACTCACCCCGAGCCTCACTCACCCCGAGGAGCCTCACTCACTCAGCTTTCGCACAGAGCCACAGAGTGAAACCACACATGAGTGGCGGGACGGCAGCAGCCAGAACCGGCGCGCGCTACTAACAATTGCCCGCGCTCTGCGGTCCTGTATTGGGATGTTTCGACCCAACTATTTCATGAATGGAATTGTGCACATTTCCAGGGGCGATGCTGGGATCTGAAAGCACGCCCGGGTCTCCGTGCCGCTCCGCAAACGGTCGCGTCAGCGGTTCCCAAATTGGCACGCGGGTGGTGTCCCAACTTAGCCTGACCCCGGCTGACCCCCGGGGTACGCGCGCACGCACGCGCGCGCGTGTGGTGTGTGTCGCAGACACAAAAGCGTCGCAGGGGGAGCGGTGGCGCAGTGGTCGGCACGCTGGGCTACGAACCCGGCCACTCGAGTTCGATTCCCGCTCACCAACACCGGTGACGATTCTTTGAATCGGTTCTGGGCCTCGCCTAGGTGGACTCGGCCTCAAATCGGTTACACGGTGCTATGTGTGAACATCGCCGATGGGGAGACAAAGGCGTGGTGTTGGCCACCCACCCCCTCGTGTGCCGTGCCGGCCTTCATAGGCGCTGCTTGCTAACAGCACTTGCCCCAACAGGCTGTTGCAGGCTATACGGGGGATCTTTGCATTTTGTAGCAGACGCAGGAGCGTCGGTAGGGGAGCGGTGGCGCAGTGGTTAGCGCACTGCGCAGAGAATGATCACGCACGTCAGTGACGAATATTTGAACCGGTTCCTGGACCCTCCTCTAGGGCGACTCAGCCATTAATGAGTACAAGGTGTGGTGTGTACACATCACGACTGGGGAGACAAAGGCGGCCGGGCGTGGCGCTGGCAACACCGCCCCGATTCTCGCGTTGTGTTTGGCCAATCATGGGCGCTCGCTGACTGCACTTGCCCCAACAGTCTGTGGAGGCTTCACGGGGGATCTTTGTCTGTGTCACAGACAGCGAGAGTCTCCCCGTGTTCCTGGGAGAGGACGACTCCACCAACAGCAGCCTCAACGTCCAGCTGCTGCTCCTGATCGGAGCACGCCTGCTCATAGCAGGGCGGTATGGCCTCACACAGGCACCGCTCACTTCACAGGCACCACCCACTTCACACAGGCACCACCCACTTCACACAGACACCACCCACTTCACACAGGCACCGCCCACTTCACACAGGCACCACCCACTTCACACAGGCACCACCCACTTCACACAGGCACCACCTACTTCACACAGGCACCGCCCACTTCACACAGGCACCACCCACTTCACACAGGCGCCACCCACTTCACACAGACACCACCCACTTCACACAGGCACCACCCACTTCACACAGGCACCACCTACTTCACACAGGCACCGCCCACTTCACACAGGCACCACCCACTTCACACAGGCACCACCCACTTCACACAGGCACCACCCACTTCACACAGGCACCGCCCACTTCACACAGGCACCACCCACTTCACACAGGCACCACCCACTTCACACAGGCACCACCTACTTCACACAGGCACCGCCCACTTCACACATGCACCACCCACTTCACACAGGCACCACCCACTTCACACAGGCACCACCCACTTCACACAGGCACCACCCATTTCACACAGGCACCACCCACTTCACACAGGCACCGCCCACTTCACAGACACCACCCACTTCACACAGGCACCACCCACTTCACACAGGCACCACCCACTTCACACAGGCACCGCCCACTTCACACAGGCACCACCCACTTCACACAGGCACCACCCACTTCACACAGGCACCGCCCACTTCACACAGACACCGCCCACTTCACACAGGCACCACCCACTTCACACAGGCACCACCCACTTCACACAGGCACCACCCACTTCACACAGGCACCACCCACTTCACACAGGCACCACCCACTTCACACAGGCACCACCCACTTCACACGAGCACCTCCCATTTCACACAGGCACCACCCACTTCACACAGGCACCACCCACTTCACACGAGCACCTCCCACTTCACACAGGCACCACCCAATTCACACAGACACCGCCCACTTCACACAGGCACCACCCACTTCACACGAGCACCTCCCACTTCACACAGGCACCGCCCACTTCACACAGGCACCACCCACTTCACACAGGCACCACCCACTTCACACAGGCACCGCCCACTTCACACAGACACCGCCCACTTCACACAGGCACCACCCACTTCACACAGGCACCACCCACTTCACACAGGCACCGCCCACTTCACACAGGCACCACCCACTTCATACAGACACCGCCCACTTCACACAGGCACCGCCCACTTCACACAGGCACCACCCACTTCATACAGACACCGCCCACTTCACACAGGCACCGCCCACTTCACACAGGCACCACCCACTTCACACAGGCACCGCCCACTTCACACAGGCACCACCCACTTCACACAGGCACCGCCCACTTCACACAGGCACCGCCCACTTCACACAGACACCATCCACTTCACACAGACACCACCCACTTCACACAGGCACCGCCCACTTCACACAGGCACCGCCCACTTCACACAGGCGTCACCCGGCACTCACGCGAATGTCTCTGCTCCTCACAGGGACCACGTGTTCACTGTGGATCTGAGCCGCCCCGTGCATGGCGCCATCACCCACAGCGCGGTGAGCGGCAGTGAGGGGTGTGGGGTCACGGGTGAGGGGTGTGGGGTCACGGGTGAGGGGTGTGGGGTCACGGGTGAGGGGAGTGGGGTCACGGGTGAGGGGAGTGGGGTCACGGGTGAGGGGTGTGGGGTCGGTGGTGAGGGGTGTGTGGTCTTCGGTGAGGGGTGTGGGGTCGGCGGTGAGGGGTGTGGGGTCGGCGGTGAGGGGTGTGGGGTCGGCGGTGAGGGGTGTGGGGTCGGCGGTGAGGGGTGTGGGGTCGGCGGTGAGGGGTCGGCGGTGAGCGAGCGTCAGGGGCGAGGTGGTGCAATGGAGAGCGGTGGCGCAGCGGTTAGCGCACTGGCGCTACGAAAACGGCGGCCCGAGTTCGATTCCCCGCTCACGACCAATAACTGTGGCGAATATTTGAACCGGTCCTGCCGGGACCTCCCCTAGGTCGACTCAGCCTTGAATGAGTGCAGTAGCTGGTGTGTGTAAATATTAGCACTGGGGAGACAAAGGCGGTCGGGCGTGGTGATGGCCACATCACCGCCTCGTGTGGCAATTGCCCCCAACAGCCTGTCCAGGGAATGTTTGTGGGAGTGGGGGGGGAGGGGGGGAGGGGGGGAGGGGGTGAGGGTGTGATGGTGTGATGGTGTGATGGTGTGATGGTGTGATGGTGTGATGGTGTGATGGTGTGAGAGTGAGAGGTGAGGGTGTGAGAGTGAGAGGTGAGGGTGAGGGTGTGATGGTGTGATGGTGTGAGGGTGTGATGGTGTGAGGGTGTGATGGTGTGATGGTGTGATGGTGTGAGAGTGAGAGGTGAGGGTGTGAGAGTGAGAGGTGAGGGTGAGGGTGTGATGGTGTGATGGTGTGATGGTGTGATGGTGTGATGGTGTGATGGTGTGAGGGTGAGAGGTGAGGGTGAGGGTGTGATGGTGTGATGGTGTGATGGTGTGAGGGTGTGATGGTGTGATGGTGTGATGGTGTGATGGTGTGATGGTGTGAGAGTGAGAGGTGAGGGTGTGAGAGTGAGAGGTGAGGGTGAGGGTGTGATGGTGTGATGGTGTGATGGTGTGATGGTGTGATGGTGTGAGGGTGAGAGGTGAGGGTGAGGGTGTGATGGTGTGATGGTGTGATGGTGTGAGGGTGTGATGGTGTGATGGTGTGATGGTGTGATGGTGTGATGGTGTGATGGTGTGAGAGTGAGAGGTGAGGGTGTGAGAGTGAGAGGTGAGGGTGAGGGTGTGATGGTGTGATGGTGTGATGGTGTGATGGTGTGAGGGTGAGAGGTGAGGGTGAGGGTGTGATGGTGTGATGGTGTGATGGTGTGAGGGTGTGATGGTGTGAGGGTGTGATGGTGTGATGGTGTGATGGTGTGATGGTGTGAGAGTGAGAGGTGAGGGTGATGGTGTGATGGTGTGATGGTGTGATGGTGTGATGGTGTGATGGTGTGAGGGTGAGAGGTGAGGGTGAGGGTGTGATGGTGTGAGGGTGTGATGGTGTGAGGGTGAGGGTGTGATGGTGTGAGGGTGTGATGGTGTGAGGGTGAGGGTGTGACGGTGTGAGGGTGTGATGGTGTGAGGGTGAGGGTGTGATGGTGTGAGGGTGTGATGGTGTGATGGTGTGAGAGTGAGAGGTGAGGGTGTGATGGTGTGATGGTGTGATGGTGTGATGGTGTGATGGTGAGGGTGTGATGGTGTGATGGTGAGGGTGTGATGGTGTGATGGTGTGATGGTGTGAGGGTGAGGGTGTGATGGTGTGAGGGTGTGATGGTGTGAGGGTGAGAGAGTGAGAGGTGAGGGTGAGGGTGTGATGGTGTGAGGGTGTGATGGTGTGAGGGTGTGATGGTGTGAGGGTGAGAGAGTGAGAGGTGAGGGTGAGGGTGTGATGGTGTGAGGGTGTGATGGTGTGAGGGTGTGATGGTGTGAGGGTGTGATGGTGTGAGGGTGAGGGTGTGATGGTGTGAGAGTGAGAGGTGAGGGTGAGGGTGTGATGGTGTGAGGGTGATGGTGTGAGGGTGATGGTGTGAGGGTGTGATGGTGTGAGGGTGTGAGGGTGAGGGTGTGACGGTGTGAGGGTGTGATGGTGTGAGGGTGAGGGTGTGATGGTGTGAGGGTGTGATGGTGTGATGGTGTGATGGTGTGAGAGTGAGAGGTGAGGGTGTGATGGTGTGATGGTGTGATGGTGTGATGGTGTGATGGTGTGATGGTGAGGGTGTGATGGTGTGATGGTGAGGGTGTGATGGTGTGATGGTGTGATGGTGTGAGGGTGAGGGTGTGATGGTGTGAGGGTGTGATGGTGTGAGGGTGAGAGAGTGAGAGGTGAGGGTGAGGGTGTGATGGTGTGAGGGTGTGATGGTGTGAGGGTGTGATGGTGTGAGGGTGAGAGAGTGAGAGGTGAGGGTGAGGGTGTGATGGTGTGAGGGTGTGATGGTGTGAGGGTGTGATGGTGTGAGGGTGTGATGGTGTGAGGGTGAGGGTGTGATGGTGTGAGAGTGAGAGGTGAGGGTGAGGGTGTGATGGTGTGAGAGTGAGAGGTGAGGGGGAGGGTGGTGGTGTGATGGTGTGATGGTGTGATGGTGTGATGGTGTGATGGCTGTGATGGATGGGTGTGATGGTGTGATGTGAGGGTGTGATGGTGTGATGTGTGATGGTGTGATGGTGTGATGGTGTGAGGGTGAGGGTGTGATGGTGTTGAGGGTGTGATGGTGTGAGGGTGAGAGAGTGAGAGGTGAGAGTGAGGGTGTGCTGGTGTGAGGGCTGTGATGGTGTGGAGGGTGTGATGGTGTGAGGGTGAGAGAGTGAGAGGTGAGGTGGGTGTCTGTGATGGTGTGAGGGTGTGATGGTGGGAGGGTGTGATGGTGTGAGGGTGTGATGGGATGAGGGTGAGGTGTGATGGTGTGAGAGTGAGAGGTGAGGGTGAGGTGTGATGGTGTGAGGGGAGGGTGAGTGATGTTGATGGTGTGATTGGTGTGCTGGTGTGATGGTGTGATGGTGAGGTGTGATGGTGTGATGGGTGAGGGTTTGATGTGGTTGTGATGGTGTGAGGGTGAGGGTGTGATGGTGTGAGGGTGTGATGGTGTGAGGGTGAGAGAGTGAGAGGTGAGGGGTGAGGGTGTGATGGTGTGAGGGTGTGATGGTGTGAGGGTGTGATGGTGTGAGGGTGAGAGAGTGAGGTGAGGGTGTGATGGTGTGAGAGTGAGAGGTGAGGGTGAGGGTGTGATGGTGTGAGAGTGAGAGGTGAGGGTGAGGGTGTGATGGTGTGAGAGTGAGAGGTGAGGGTGAGGGTGTGATGGTGTGAGAGTGAGAGGTGAGGGTGAGGGGTGTGATGGTGTGAGAGTGAGAGGTGAGGGTGAGGTGTGATGGTGTGAGAGTGAGAGGTGAGGGTGAGGTGTGTGATGGTGTGAGAGTGAGAGGTGAGGGGAGGGTGTGATGGTGTGAGAGTGAGAGGTGAGGGTGTGATGGTGTGAGAGTGAGAGGTGAGGGTGAGGGTGTGATGGTGTGAGAGTGAGAGGTGAGGGTGAGGGTGTGATGGTGTGAGAGTGAGAGGTGAGGGTGAGGGTGTGATGGTGTGAGAGTGAGAGGTGAGGGTGAGGGTGTGATGGTGTGAGAGTGAGAGGTGAGGGTGAGGGTGTGATGGTGTGAGAGTGAGAGGTGAGGGTGAGGGTGTGATGGTGTGAGAGTGAGAGGTGAGGGTGAGGGTGTGATGGTGTGAGAGTGAGAGGTGAGGGTGAGGGTGTGATGGTGTGAGAGTGAGAGGTGAGGGTGAGGGTGTGATGGTGTGAGAGTGAGAGGTGAGGGTGAGGGTGTGATGGTGTGAGAGTGAGAGGTGAGGGTGAGGGTGTGATGGTGTGAGAGTGAGAGGTGAGGGTGAGGGTGTGATGGTGTGAGAGTGAGAGGTGAGGGTGAGGGTGTGATGGTGTGAGAGTGAGAGGTGAGGGTGTGATGGTGTGATGGTGTGATGGTGTGAGAGTGAGGGTGTGATGGTGTGAGAGTGAGGTGTGAGGTGAGAGGGGAGGGTGTGATGGTGTGAGAGTGAGAGGTGAGGGTGAGGGTGTGATGGTGTGATGGTGTGAGGGTGTGAGGGTGAGGGTGTGATGGTGTGATGGTGTGATGGTGTGAGAGTGAGAGGTGAGGGTGAGGGTGTGATGGTGTGAGAGTGAGAGGTGAGGGTGAGTGTGTGATGGTGTGAGGGTGAGGGTGTGATGGTGTGAGAGGTGAGGGTGAGGGTGTGATGGTGTGAGAGTGAGAGGTGAGGGTGAGGGTGTGATGGTGTGAGAGTGAGAGGTGAGTGTGTGATGGTGTGAGGGTGAGGGTGTGATGGTGTGAGAGTGAGGGTGTGATGGTGTGATGGTGTGAGAGTGAGAGGTGAGGGTGAGGGTGTGATGGTGTGAGGGTGAGGGTGTGATGGTGTGAGAGTGAGGGTGTGATGGTGTGATGGTGTGAGAGTGAGAGGTGAGGGTGAGGGTGTGATGGTGTGAGGGTGAGGGTGTGATGGTGTGAGAGTGAGGGTGTGATGGTGTGATGGTGTGAGAGTGAGAGGTGAGGGTGTGATGGTGTGAGAGTGAGAGGTGAGGGTGAGGGTGTGTGATGGTGTGAGGGTGAGGGTGTGATGGTGTGAGAGTGAGGGTGTGATGGTGTGATGGTGTGAGAGTGAGAGGTGAGGGTGAGGGTGTGATGGTGTGAGAGTGAGAGGTGAGGGTGTGATGGTGTGAGGGTGAGGGTGTGATGGTGTGAGAGTGAGGGTGTGATGGTGTGATGGTGTGAGAGTGAGAGGTGAGGGTGAGGGTGTGATGGTGTGAGGGTGAGGGTGTGATGGTGTGAGAGTGAGGGTGTGATGGTGTGATGGTGTGAGAGTGAGAGGTGAGGGTGAGGGTGTGATGGTGTGAGGGTGAGGGTGTGATGGTGTGAGAGTGAGGGTGTGATGGTGTGATGGTGTGAGAGTGAGAGGTGAGGGTGAGGGTGTGATGGTGTGAGAGTGAGAGGTGAGGGTGAGGGTGTGATGGTGTGAGGGTGAGGGTGTGATGGTGTGAGAGTGAGGGTGTTGATGGTGTGATGGTGTGATGGTGTGAGAGTGAGAGGTGAGGGTGAGGGTGTGATGGTGTGAGAGTGAGGGTGTGATGGTGTGAGAGTGAGGGTGTTGATGGTGTGAGAGTGAGGGTGTTGATGGTGTGATGGTGTGATGGTGTGAGAGTGAGAGGTGAGGGTGAGTGTGTGATGGTGTGAGAGTGAGGGTGTTGATGGTGTGAGAGTGAGGGTGAGGGTGAGTGTGTGATGGTGTGAGAGTGAGGGTGTGATGGTGTGAGAGTGAGGGTGTTGATGGTGTGATGGTGTGAGAGTGAGAGGTGAGGGTGAGTGTGTGATGGTGTGAGAGTGAGGGTGTTGATGGTGTGATGGTGTGAGAGTGAGAGGTGAGGGTGAGGGTGTGATGGTGTGAGAGTGAGGGTGTTGATGGTGTGATGGTGTGAGAGTGAGAGGTGAGGGTGTTGATGGTGTGATGGTGTGAGAGTGATGGTGTGAGAGTGATGGTGTGAGAGTGAGGAGTGAGGGTGTTGATGGTGTGATGGTGTGAGAGTGAGAGGTCAGGGTGTTGATGGTGTGAGAGTGATGGTGTGATGGTGTGAGAGTGAGGGTGTTGATGGTGTGAGAGTGTGAGGGGTGAGGGTGAGTGTGTTGATGGTGTGATGGTGTGAGAGTGAGGAGTGAGGGTGTTGATGGTGTGATGGTGTGACTTGTGAGAGTGAGATGAGTGAGGAGCGTGATGGGTGAGGAGCGTGATGGGTGAAGAGCGTGATGGGTGAGGAGTGTTTTTTTTATCGCAGAAGCTGACGTGGATGGCGGAGCGCCAGGAGGTGGACCGGTGTCTCATGAACGGCAAGACGGAGGTGAGGCCAGACGGCCACGAGGGCCCCTCTCTCACGGCTCAGGAGTCGCCAACCTGCGGCTCTTGAACACCCACTTCGTGACGCTCTTCATCAACATTCACCACCGTCTCGCATTCACCACGCAGTGCATTGCGGCTCGAGGAGTATTGAGGGTTTATTTTGTACCGAGTTTTGGTTGCCAACCCCTGGTCGTCACGGTGGATAGATGTTAACCCCCTCGCCTGGTACACAGGAGGTCGTGGGTTCGATCCCGACCCGGACACCTGCTGCTGTATATTTGGAGCTTGCGTGTCTCTCTCTCTCAACATCACGGTGGCTAGGAGATGTTAACTACCTCGCTTGGTCTACAGGAGGTCGTGGGTTCGATCCCAACCCCGACACCTGCTGCTGTATATTTGGAGTTTGCGTCTCTCTCATCATCATCACGGTGGCTAGATGTTAACTACCTCGCTTGGTCTACAGGAGGTCGTGGGTTCGATCCCAACCCTGACACCTGCTGCTGTATATTTGGAGTTTGCGTGTCTCTCTTCCCGTGGTCGCGTGAATTTTTCTCCAGGTCCTCCGGTTTTTCCCCTCCACATTTAGAATCAACATCACGCGTTTAGAGCATTTCGCCGCTATAAATGTCCACGTGACAAGCCAATTCGTTGAGCTGTCACTTGCGATAGCCAGGTCGCTTATTGAAAAGAGCGCTACGTAGCTCAGTGGGACCTTACCTGGGAAAATATTATTTTTGAATAAAAAAAAACCAAATAGTCCGTATGAGCTCCCTCTTCCTCATAGCGCAGCGCGATCCTCGGGAAGGAAGTCGCTGCCGTGCATCACAGACACAGCCTGAGGTGCGTTCACAGCAGGGGGCGATGGCTGCTGTGTGATCTCGCCTAGGAGCACCCCCAGTGGCAGCAGTCCCTGTGTATTAGTCTGTCAGTTGAGTAACTCGCGCGGTGCTAACTTGTTGACATGTTGGCGACAGAAAAATTGGACCACGAATCCGGCGCACGTCGTTGGCCTACTCGTGCGAATGACGTCACGGGAATCTTTAACCGCCCACGTGAATATCAGCCGCAGCATTGACCGGGGCGGCCGCCGGGCTCGCACCGCGAGCGTCTGCGAACGCGCGGTGAACGATGGGGCCGCCCCTGGGCCACCGCCCTTCGTGGCCGTTGGCAACGCGGGTGACACCGGCGTCACTCGGGTGACACCGGCGTCACGCGGGTGACACCGGCGTCACTCGGGGGAGACGATGAACCCAGCAGAGGCCCGAGTTCTATTCCCGCTCACGGCCGCCCACACCGGTGACGATTATCTGAACCTGTGCTGGGCATCCCCAATGTCGGCTCAGCCTTAAACGAGTACTTAGTGTGGTGTGTAAAAAGACAAAGGTGGCCGAGCATGGTGCTGGCCACCCGCCCCCTCGTGTGCCTTGCCGGCTTTCACAGGTGCTGGCTAAACAGCCCTTGCCCCCAAAAGTCTGTGGAGGCTGTACGGGGGATGTTTGTCTTCACCGCAGGAGGAGTGTCACAACTTCATGAAGGTGGTTGCGCCACGAGGAGACGGACTCCTCTTTGTGTGCGGCACCAACGCATACAGCCCCACGTGCAGGAACTACCAGGTACTGCTGCCTGGGTCACACACACAGCAGTGACATACTCTCAGTGTCACCCACAGCAGTGTCACACACACACAGCAGTGTCACGCACAGCAGTGTCACACACGGAGTGTCAGACACACACAGCAGTGTCACGCAGTGTCTATTCCTAGTGCCCCTGCGTGTGCGTGTGTGCGTTCGCGCGTGTGTGTGTGCGTGCGTGTGCGCGTGTGTGTCCGTGCGTGTCCGTGCATGTGTGTGCGCGTGTGTGTGTGCGCGTGTGTGTGTGTGTGTGTACGTGTGTGTGCGTGTGTGTGTGTGTGCGTACGTGTGTGTGCGTGTGCGTGTGTGCACGTGTGTGCGTGCACGTGTGTGTGTGCGTGTGTGTGCGCGTGTGTGTGTGCGCGTGTGTGTACGTGTGTGTGTGTCCGTGTGTGTGTGTGTGTACGTGTGTGTACGTGTGTGTGTGCGTGGACAGCTGGCGGACCTGTCCTTCACTGGGGAGCAAACGAGTGGCCTCGCCAAGTGTCCCTTCGACCCCCGGCAGGGAGGGGCGGCTGCCTTCGCAGGTCCGTGGGGTCGCAGCGACACGCCAGCGACACACGTGTGTCCGTGTGTGTACGTGTGCGGACGTGTGTACGTGCGGACGTGCGTGGGGGAGCGGTGGCAAAGTGGTGAGTGCACTGCGCGACTAGCCCGGCCACCCGAGTGCCATTCCCGCTCACGGCCACCAACAGCGGTGGCGATTATCCGAACCGGTCCCGAGCCTCCCCTAGGTCGACTCAGCCTCAAATTAGCGCTTGGTACGGCGCTGGGGAGACAAAGGCGGCCGGGCGTGGTGTTTTGCCACATCGTGGGTGCCGCTCGCCAACGGGCACTTGCCCCCCACAGGACGCGCGCTAGCTGGGGGACCTTTATCTGTGCGTGCAGGCGAGCGTCTCTACTCGGCCACGGCCGTGGACCCCCTGGGGGTGGACGCGGTGGTCTACGGGAGCCTGGGGCCCGGGCCCCCCCTGCGCTCCCTCAAACTCGACTCCAAGTGGCTCAAGGGTACTGACCCCCCCCCTCACTGACCCCCCCCCCTCACTGACCCCTCACCCACCCTGCCCTCACCAACCCCCCCCCCCTCACCAACCCCCCCTCACTGACCCCTCACCCACCCTGCCCTCACCAACCCTCACCGACCCCCCCCCCATCACCGACCCTCCCACCCTCACCAACCCCCCCCCTCACTAACACCCCCCGCCCTCACTAACCCCCCTCCCTCACCGACCCCCCCCCCACCCTCACCGCCCGGCCCCCCCTGTGACGTGACACGACCTGCTCGTGTCAGGTCGTGTCACATCACGAGTACTGTGTCAAGGCAGGTGTGTGCGCGTGTCTGAGGTTGTGTTGTGTGTCACGCGTGTCGTGAGTCAACCGTGTGGTACGTCACGCGTGTCTTGTGTGTGGTACGTCACGCGTGTCTTGTGTGTGGTGCGTCACGCGTGTGCCGTGCGGTGCACAGAGCCCGTGTTCGTGAGGGTGCTGGAGCACGGGCAGCATGTCTACTTCTTCTTCACGGAGATCGCCGTTGAGCTCAGCTCCATGGGCAAGGTGACGCGCCCTTCACTCACACACACACCGACACACATGGGCCTTCACTCACACACCGACACACACCGGCCTTCACTCACTCACTCACACACACACCAACACACACCGGCTTTCATTCATGGGTTCCTTCACTTGTGTAGGCGTGCTGACACAGGTGCGTCGCTGCCCCCCCCCCCCCCCCCCCAGGTGCTGTTCTCGCGCGTGGCGCGCGTCTGCAAGAGCGACGCGGGGGGCTCTCAGCGCGTGCTGGATGGCCACTGGAGCTCGTTCGTGAAGGCGCGACTCAACTGCTCGGTGGGGGGCGAGGCGCCGGGGGACGCCCCCTTCTACTTCAACGAGCTCCAGGGGGTCTCCGAGGTGCTCCACATCGGGGGTCGCGAGCTCGTGCTCGGGGTCTTCACCACCCCCCTCAACAGGTGCCCCCCCCCTCCACCCCGACCCCACCCCCTCCACCCCCTCCACCCCACCCCCTCCACCCCGACCCGGCCGTCACCCAGGCATCACTGCGCTGTCGAGGAGACGTTACCACCCTCGCCTGCCGCGAAGGAGCACGTGGGTTCGAGCCCCAGAGCCTGGCGATGCCCGCGGTATATTTGGAGCCCGCGTGTTCTCCCCGTTCTGCAGCTTGTGAATGCGAGATTGTGTTGGTGTGTTTGAGTGATCGAGTGTGGGAAGCGGTAGTGTGGTGGTTAGCGCGCTGCGCTATGAACCCGGTGGCCCGAGTTCGATTCCTCCCCTAGGTCGATTCAGCCTCAAATGAGTGCCTGTTGCGGCGCGTAAACATCCCCACTAAGGGAGACAAAAGTGGCCGGCCGTGGTTCTGGCCACCCACCCCCCGTGTGCCGTGCCGACCTCGCTAACAGCACTTGCCCCAGCAGTCTCCAAGAGGCTACACGGGGTAGCTTTGTCTTTACATGCGTGCGCGCGTGTGCGCAGCATCCACGGCTCGGCCGTGTGCGCGTTCGACATGGAGGACGTGGCCAGCACCTTCCAGGGCCGCTACTCGGAGCAGCGAGGGCCCGACGGCCCCTGGCTCGCCGTGCCGGAGGCCCGCACACCCACCCCCAGGTGCATCACAACACAGACCCGCCATCACACCGTGCCATCACACCACTCTCACACCACTCTCACACCACTCCCATCACACCTTACCATCACACCACTCCCATCACACCATACCATCACACCGTGCCATCACACCACTCCCATCACACCACTCCCATCACATCGTGCCATCATACCGTGCCATATTCTCAGGTTTTTTCGGTAAAGTCACGTAGGTAAAAAATAAAATTAAAAGTTAATAAAAGTAATAATGGAAATAAAATAAAATAATAAATCACGACGTTTCGGAGGCAACACAAGTCTCCGTTATCAGGTGGGACCGTCACAGCTTGATGCAGTAATTTTAGCTGTGACGGTCCCACCTGATAACGAAGACTTGTGTTGCCTCCGAAACGTCGTGATTTATTATTTTATTTTATTTCCATTATTACTTTTATTAACTTTTAATTTTATTTTTTACCTACGTGACTTTACCGAAAAAACCTGAGAGTATGAATCCTTGCAGTCACGAAAGCTTCAAATCTAGAATTAATACCGTGCCATCACACCACTCCCATCATAACACTCTCATCACACCACTCCCATTACATCAGTGCCATCACACCACTCCCATCACACCGTGACATCATTATCATGCCCCTGACATCATGCCATGCGGCTGTGATCCCTTGTGTGTCTCTGTGTTCCTGTGTCCTCTGTCTGTGTTCCTCATGCCCGTGTCCACATGTCTCTCTGTCGAACATGTCTTGCTTATCGCTTCATTCCCGTCTCTCAGCCCTTGTTACCTCGTTTGTTACCCCGTGTGCCATTATCTTACCCCATGTCTAACCCCGTATGTCACCCTGTGCGTCTCCCCGTGTAATCACAGTGTCACCCTGTGTGTGGGGAGTTGTGGTGTAGCGGTCAGCTAGCTGCGCTACGAACCCAGCGACCCGAGTTCGATTCCTGCTCACGGCCAACACTCACGACTATTATCTGATCAGGTCCTGGGCTTACCCTAGGTCGACTCAGCCTCAAATGAGTACCTGGTGTGATGTGTAAACATCTACAAATGCGGCCGGGCATGGTGCTGGCCACCCATCCCCTCGTGTGCCGTGCCGGTCTTCATAGGTGCAATTCGCTATCAGCACTTGCCCCAACAATCTGTTGATCTTTGTCTTTTTGTCACCCGTGTGTCACCTGGGGTGTCGCCCTGCGTCTCATCCCCCACGTCTCGCCCCCGCGTCTCGCGCCAGGCCCGGTGCGTGTGCGGGCGAGGGGGAGGCGGCTGCGTTCCCCCGCTCGCCGCTGCTGCCGGACGAGGCGCTGAGCTTCGCCAAGACGCACCCGCTGGCTCACCGCGCCGTCAACGCCGTCTCCCCGCAGCCCTGGTTCGTGCGCTCCGGCACCCGGTGAGAACAGCAACAACGTCACACCGCCCCAGCGCTTGTGCCAGGCTAGGTGCACCCTGAGGCTGGCACGGGAAGTGCGGAAGGCTCGCTGGCAGGAGGTCGCCGGACAGCCCCAGGTGCAATGGGTTGACTGCCAGACTTGACTGGCAGATGCACCACCTGTGGAACAGTATAAAGATTCACAGTATAGCCTCAACAGGCTTTGGGGGAAAGTGGACCCACGAAAGCCGGCACGGCACACGAGTGGGTGGGTAGCCAGCACCACGTCCGGCCGCCTTTGTCTCCCCAGTGCCGATGTTTATACACTGCACCAGGTACTCATTTAAGGCTGAGTCGACTTAGGGAATGCCAAGAACCGGTTCAGATAAACGCCACTGGTGTTGACCGCGAGGACGAATCGAACTCGGGTCGCTAGGTTTATAGCGCAGCGCGCTAACCACTACCCTAACCACTCCCCACCTGTGAGATCATGCACGCACACACAGATGTGCACGCACACACATATGTGCATGGACGCACGCACAGATGTGCATGGACGCATGCACAGATGTGCATGAACGCACGCACATGCAGACGCACACACAGAGAGCGCCAGCTTTCGGACCCCCGTAGGACTCAAAACGCTGGGTTCAGAATAATCCATCTTAACGCGCGACCTCTGCGTGACCCCCGGCGTGACCCCCCCCGACCCCCCGCCCAGCTACCGGCTGACCCACATCGCGGTGGACGTGAGGGCGGGGCGCCACGGCAACGAGACGGTGGTGCTGCTCGCGGCGCAGAGCGGCGTGCTGCTCAAGCTGCTGCTGCTGCCGGGCGGTGGCGGCGGTGGTGGCGGTGGTGGTGGCGCCGTGCTGCTCGAGGAGGCGGAGCCCTACAGCGCCCGCGAGTACGCACACACGTGGGGGAGACGCGCACGTGGGGGGAGACCCGCACGTGGGGGGAGACGCGCACGTGGGGGGAGACGCACACGTGGGGGGAGACGCACACGTGGGGGGAGACGCGCACACGTGGGGCGAGACGCACACCGCACGTCCACACGCTCGTCGCTGGAGCTGGCCCTGAGCGGAATTGAACTCGTGTCCCCGTGTCCCACTCTATGCCCTCCCCGTATCTCTCCCCATGTGTGCCCTCCCACGATCCCCCCCCCCCCCGGCCCGTGTGTTCCCCACGTGTCTCCCATCCACCGCCCCCCGCCCCATGTTCCCCGTGTCTCCCTCATGTACCCCTCCCATGTCATCCCATGTGTGCCACGTCGTGTGTGTCCCCGCTGTGTGTGCCATCACGTGCCCCCCGCCCCCAGCTGTGGCGAGCGGTCCCCGCGCGCGGTGCGGGCGCTGCTCGTGGACGCGGAGCGCCACGCCGTCTTCCTCGCCTTCTCCTCCTGCGTGCTGCGCCTCCCGCTCAGCCACTGCGCGCGGCACGCAGACTGCAAGAAGTGCGGCACACGCCTAGGGCATGCCACACCACACGCCTAGTACACGCCTAGCACACGCACACCTTCTCACGACTTCTTCGTGAACCCACTCCTCTCACACCCCCCCCCACCCCCCACAACCCCCCCCTCCCCCCCACGACTGCTGTGTTCACCGAACGGGGCCGGAGCGGCCGGGCCCCTCTCGTCACAAAAAAACCGACAACAAATCCGCCCCAGATTGATCTTTGGGAACGATGTGGTCAAATTCGTGTCGTCAAGAGCCTGCTACCAGCCGACCAGGCACAACAAACAACGTTGCCCGCGTGCGCCAGCGTTGGACTCGCCGCCCCCGCGCCGTGCCGGGTGGTCGGAACTTGGGGGCGTCGGTCCCAGGGCCATGGCCGCACGATGGGCGACGGGAGTCGGGTCACGTTCGCACAACTGTCGACCCCTTACCAGTGCCCCCTACCTTATTACAGACCAATTCAGACCTTGTTGGTCACCCCGTGCCATTATAAATCTAAACGTTAATTCTACAAAGTACCATCACATGGTAGAAACACAAATAGACAATGTTTTTTGTTACTCAATTTCCCTGTGCAACAATACGGGTAAACCGTATGGGTGGACAGGTGTGCGTCCGTTGCGTCCGTTGCGTCGCGCGTACCCCGTGGGTTCCCCGTGGGTACCCAGACCCCAGGCAGGGCTCGAGCGGAGGGTGGTACCGACGCAATTTTGGCCCGGGTGATTAATAGGCCCGGTCAAAAATCGATTAAGATTCGTAGTAGTGGACCGATTGACTGAAGGTGCAGGAGATACGCTGGTATTGACCTGCTCCGTCTCGCGTGGGCCCCAGGGCTTGCCTGGCGTCCCGGGACCCGTACTGCGCCTGGTCGGGGGGGACCTGCAGCCGCGTCACGCCATCATCCCACGGCAGGTGCGGACACTCGCGCACCGCACGCACCGCACGCACCATACCACCACATGCACCGCACACACGCACCACACGCACTACCCACTGAACCACACGCACGCACTGCACCACATGCACCGCTACACACACACAGCACTACACACACCGCACTACACAATACACACACCACTCGCACCGCACTACACACACCGCACTACACAATACACACACCACTCGCACCGCACTACACACACCGCACTACACAATACACACACCACTCGCACCGCACTACACACACCGCATTACACTCAATAACCCACGCACACCGCAAACACAGACCGTACACCACACGTCACAAAGCGCCACGCACTGGCAGTGACGTCACCAAACCGCAGCAGCAGCCCCACTGAGACGCGAGGGTTTGGGGATGTTTGGGGTTGTTTGGGGTTGCCGAGTGTTGGTGTCGGTGGGGGGCCGTGCCTAACTGGATGAGGGGGGGGTCCCCTCTGTGTCCCCAGCCCCATGGCGGAGCAAGCCCTCGCCACGGGGAGCGCGGGGAACCTGCCTGACTGCGCCGGTGAGCCCCCCACAGTCCTGCAGGGGGGGTCCAGTGTCTCTGTCTGTGCCATGTGCTGTGGTAGATCGACACTTCACGTGGCCTTAACGTGCACGCACATAGCCTGGCACAAGCGCCGTGGTGATGTTGTTGCCGTGGTAGTGGTTGGGGAGCGGCGGTTGTAGCGATTAGCGCGCTGCGCGGTGAATCTGGCGACCCGAGTTCGATTCACGCTCACGGCGTGAATCGAACTCGGGATTCATACTCTTAGGTTTTTTCGGTAAATAAATAGTAAAAATAAAAAATAACTTTATGAAATCGATTTAGTTCTTTTTCATTGATTTTTTTTATTATTATTTTTACCTACACGACTTTACCGAAAAAACCTAAGCGTACCAGTGACGATTATCTGAACCGGACTCGGGAACTCAAATGAGTACGAGGTGCGGTGTGTAGTAAACATCGCCACTAGGGAGACAAAGGCGGCCGGGCGTGGTTCCGACCACCCACCTCCACGTGTGCTATGCCGGCCTTGATAGGTGGTCGCTAACAGCACTTGCCCCAAGTCTGTTAAGGCTATACGGGGGATCTTTGTATTTGTGTGCTGTGATTTGACTTTGGTGCAGTGGCCTAGTGTGTATATTGACATGGGTTGTGCAAGATTGTGGTGGCGCTGCTTATGATGGTGACGATGCTGATGACGTCGATGGTTACGAGTATGATGATGGTGGTTGCAATGATGATGACTTTGGTGGTGATGACGACGATGTGGACGACAATAATGACGATGATGACGACGATGTCGACGACGATATTGACGAATGATGACGACGGTGATGACGACGATGATGACGGTGATGACGACGATGATGATCCTGTGCGTCTCCATTGCCCCGTGCTTCCACAGACTCCGTTGTGACGTCCAGCGGTGAGTGTCTCCTCCACAGCATCACATGGAGCGTCACGGTGTAAGAGTAGTGAGTGTCCTGCGTTTAGTGTCAACTGTGAGTAGCGATTGTGAAGTGCGTGAGTCATGGCAAGTGCGAGTCGTGTCAAGCCTGAAGAGTGAATGTGCAGTGAGTGCCAAGCGTGAGTAGTGTCACGTCTGAGTGAGTAGTGATCGTGTAGTGTGAAGTGTGCGCAGCATCAAGTGTAATGACTGTGAAGTGAGTGTCAAGTGCGAGTAGCGAGCGTCCCGCGTGTCGCGAGTGGCCGCTGGCGCCGTGCGTGCCGCCACAGGAGCGATCCGCGAGCCGCGGGTCTCCACCTCCCCGGGCCGCGTCCCCGCCGGCATCGTGTGGCTCTGCCTGCTCGGCGCCTTCGCTCTCGGCGCGGCGCTCTCCTGCGTCGCCACCGTCTGCCTCTTCCGGCGCTGCCGGCCCCGGCGGCCCGAGCGGCCGCGCAAGCCGCCGCCCGCGGCGCCGGCCCCGGGCGCCGGCCCGGGGCCGGCGGGGCCCTACGGCCGTTCGCGGCTGCTCGAGGAGCTGCTGCTGGAGGGCGCCGCGCGGGGCAAGGTCGACGCCGTGGCCAGGTCGGCCGCGCTGCTCGTGCCGCTCATGGCCGTCGGCAAGGTGGACGTGACGGCGCTCGAGTGGGCGGGGGGGCTCCCCCCGCCGTTCCCCCGTGCCGGCGGCCGCCCCCTCCCCGAGCTGGCGGCGCTGCCCACCCCCGAGTCGACGCCGCCCGCGACGCGCAGGAAGGCGGGCGGCGGGGGCGGCGCCGCGGACCCCCGGCCGCGGCCGTCGCCCGTCGCGACCGCCGCGGCCGCCGCCGCCGCTTTCGCCGTTTGGCCCCGGGAGAGCGCCGGGTCGGACGCGACGACCGCGGGGGGGGACCCCGGGCAGCAGCAGGGCCACACAGAGCGAGTGAGCGCACCCAGCCTGGCGCTCGAGGAGCTGCTCAGGAAGCTGCAGGAGACCGGTCAGGTGACGCAGTGCATCCTGGGAGATGGGCGCCGTCCCCGCCCGGGCGGCCCGTCTGCCGTGCGCGCCGCCCGAGCGGTCGGGCGCTCCGCTCCGCCGGCACCGCTCGCGGCCCCCGTCGCGCTCCCCGCCGCGCCCCTCCGCGTGGCCCCCCCTCCCTCGCGGCGCGCGGGGGTCGACCTCGTCCGGGAGGGGGGCGGCTCGTGAACCCGGCCCCCCCCAGGTCGCCGCGTTCCCTCGTCTCGGCGCGCGCAGAACCGCGGCGGTCAAGCCGGCGCCGGCCCCGAAGCCGCCGGGCGCCGCTCCCCCTCCGGCTCCTCCCACCGGCGCTCCCCCACCCCGCGCGCCGGCCTCCTCCTCCTCCGGGCGCGCAGCGCCGCCGTGCGGACGCTAAGCGCCGGGAGCGGACGGGGGGAGCGCCCGCCCGGCCCGGGGACGCTGCGGAGCCGCCGGAGCCGGCGCCCCGGAGGCGCGACGAGCGAACATCGGCGGTGGTCGAGGCCGGACGGCGCCACGCAGCGCCACGACCAAGGGCTTCGGGAGACGGTGCCTCACGCTGAACAAACGGCGGGAGGAGCCGGCAGAAAAACGGGAACGCGCGAGCTCCTGGCGGAATGGTGAAACGAGCGCACAGCCACGCGTGCGTGCGACAGCGATTGGAGTGCACGGGCCTGTATATGCGCGCGTGAACACTAACACCAATATTGGTATTGGTGTCTGGGGAGTGGTATTGTCGTGGTTACGTCGACTCAACCTCAAATGAGTACCTGGCGCGGTGTGTAAACATCGCCACTCGGGAGACAAACGCGGTCGGGCGTGGTGCTGGCCACCCACCCCCTCGTGTGCCGTGCCGGCCTTCATATATACTGCTCGCTAACAACATTTGCCCCAAAAGTATGGTAAGGCGACACGGGGCATCTTTGTCTTGGTCTCGGTGGAGCAGCAGCTGCAGGTTGAATGGAGCCGCTTCAAGAGAACGTAACGGGCGGCGCTTGTAGCGTCGGGACTCGACCGCCCCTTTTCCACTGCAACATCCGAGCCGCGCCAGCGTGGGGCTCCCTCGCAGTCCGGGTGGCTTTACCACTTTGCTCACCACTTCTGAATCTGGCCGGGGACCAAACGGGGCCGAAGAGCCCCGAGCGAGGCCAATACATTTTTTGTGCGTGCAACGTTAGCGGCACGGCTTGGTTTCTGCAGTGGAAAACACATCTTGGTGCTTCCTGATCCACGCCAGTGGGCCAGTTGGCCCGACCGTGGCCCTGGCGCAGTTTGGTCGTGCCAGTGGAGGAGGTGGGTAGATGCGTACGCTAATTTGCAACGCGGGGGGCGAGCGTCGGGCGAGCGTCAGGTGAGCGTGGGGTGAACCGCGTTGACGCGGGTGGTGAGCGTGGGGTGAGCGTGGGATGAGCGTGAGGTGAGCGTGGGGTGAACAGCGCCGGAGTAGGGGGCGAGCATGGGGTGAACCCTGTCGACGCGTGGGGTGAGCGTGGGGTGAGCGTGGGGCGAGCGTGGGGTGAACCGCGCCGGCACGGGGAGGGCGGCTCTCCCACTCACCACGCGGAGGGGGCCTGGTTCAGGCCCAGTCCGTCGCCGTGATGGACGTCGCGGTCATGATCACGCTTCGCTCCGTCTCCACCGAGTTGGCAAACGCTTCAGCGGAGCAGACTGGAGTGTGGCACAGTGAAGTGGAGCGAGGTGGACTGGAGCACAATTGAGTGGAGCACCACGAGAGGGGGCTGGAGAAGCACACTGGACGAGATTGGATAATGCAGAGGGGGAGGGAAGTGCTAAATTGCTCACACTCCATTGGATTGTGTCACTACAGTGGAGTAGATGACACTGAACTGGAAGCATACGAGAGGTGGCTGGAGCACACTGGACTGGAGTGGGCAATGCAGGCGAGGACTGACACTATCACACCGGACTGGAGTGGATTAGACAAGGAGCTGTGAGCAACCTCCGTGTCACCGACCAATCACTCATCGGTGTCCACCATCACATTGCGGTGCTCAGAGCCGTCCCTCGGGTAACGGCGACTCGGGGTGACCCCCCCCTACCCCCCCCCCCCCCCGTGCTTCCGACGTCCCGGTGGTGTCAGATGTAATACTTCCTGTTTCGTTGCCCCGGGCCCCACCCCCCCCCCCCCCCCCTATGGATGGCCCTGCTCGTGCTCATCAAAACCATCGCATCCCAAGTCGCACGAGACAAAGACGCGCTGACGGATGGGACATGACGGTGATCGCGGCTGCCGCCAGAAATATATGGCCCCATTGAGTGGAGTTGAGCACAATGGAGTGGAGTGGGTGCTGCTGTAATTGCAGACACCGCTGTTGCTGTGTGTTTACAGGGCTCCGTCGTCACGGGGCCCAGGAGGTGGAGGGAGCAATCCCAACCCGAGCGGCGCAGAGTCCGTGTCGCGTCGACACAGCAGAATCATCAGCCAGCTCGCGTTTCGCCTGTTTTAATAGCTTCATGTATAGCGCATTATGACTGTGATAATAATGATGATGATGATAATAATAATAACCATTCTCTTCCAACATAGCACTATTTTTTACATTAAAAAATCAATCAATAAAAAATGGTGTCGTCTCATCTTGGCAGTACAGGGTCGGGCAAGGTCGCAATAAACGTGACACACGCTGCCCGCTAGCGCACCCTGGGCCCCCCGCGTTACACGGAGGAGGGAGAGAGGAGGAATCATTACGAATCGCGTCCACCTTCCACCTCTTCCAAGATGTCGGGCCAGTGTGGAAAAGTAGGCAGAATACCCTCTTTGCTCTCTTAAGAGCTCCCTGTAGTGGAGGCCTTTCCGCCAGCAGTGGCTCGAACAAGCAATTTCAGGGCTGCACCTTCACCCGTACCGTGCCCCCCCCCCACCCCCATAGCAGTGCTCACGCTCAGCTAATCCTCCTCCTCCCACCACCACCACCACCAACCACCACTCCGGCGGTGGCGGCACACCCTACGAGCTGCAGTATCGGAGCTCTGACTAACCGGAGCCAAGATGTGGTCGCTGTTGTGGAGCCGGGAGCGGGGCCGGGAGCGGGCCTGAGCGATCAGAGGATCTGTTCCGAGCTGGAGGCCGAGATGTCCAGGAGGCGCCACGCAGCCAGGGGATTGAGCTCCTCCTGGTCACGGCACAGAGCCCACACGTACAACATACGCACCACCTTGTCCTGCAGACACACACGGGGCGGGGGGGGGGGTGCGGGCAGAGCGGGCAGGGTGAGGAGTGGCGTTAAAGCACGCGGACTTTAACCGCACGCGCGCTCGTTTAACTCCCTTGGTGGGGGTGAGAGGTTGTGGGTACGCACGGGGTCGCCCTCCACCGTCTGCCCCTTGGAGTCTCGCAGCACCCAGCACGAGCTGAGCCTGGAAGGTGATGATGAGCACGGGACCCTGCTCCATCAGCTTCCCCATCGCCAGCTGCGCGGATACACGCGGCATAGCACGGTCACACGCGTGGAGATGCACGGTCACACGCGTGGAGATGCACGGACACACGCGTGGAGATGCACGGACACATGCGTGGAGATGCCGAGAGACGCGGTGAAACGCAGAGACACGCAGTGACGCATGGATGCACGCAGCAGAGCAGGAGGTTGAGCAGTGAGTCGCAGGACACAGAAACCAGATAGACCACAGCATAGCAAAATCACAAGTTCATAGCAGAGCACAAGGTTATAGCTCAACATACAGCTCGTAGCACACAGCTCATGGCATTCAGGCCCTAGCATGCAGGACAAAGCACGCGGTTCTGAGACGCGATGACAACGACAACAGGCAGGAGGAGGAGGGGAACTCACGTCAATGTTGTCGATGTCGAGGATGCGCGAGTGGAAGGAGCAGCCCATGGCCTTAGCCTGCTTGATGGGTGTGAGCGAGCTGACTGTACGTCTGTGCGATACCAAACACGCGCACAAAACACCGACACACCCCCTCATAAAATCCCAAGTTGCTAATTTCAGCATTGCAATGTTGGATATGACAAGTTACATTGGATGTTTTTTTTGTTTCATCGATGGAAGGAAACGAAAACCGGGAGGAACAGGGGAAGAGGAACATTCAATCTCCACGCAGATGCCCGAGTCGGGAATTTAACCCAGGTTTTCTTGCTTGCGAGGCACGAGTTCGCTACCGCACTCCGCCCGAAAATGGCGAGAGATTTTGGCAAACGCCAACATTCCAAACAGTTTTACACGGAGGCTTCGCGACCAGTACTCAAATTCTAAATGTTGTGGATTCACACTTCAAACACACCGGTGGGCTGAAAAAGTAACTAATTGGCGTTTCGTTAACGTGACACATTTTTTACTGATTGGTCATGTCGGGTGGTGGAGGGTTGCGACACATTTATAATAACGCGATCTCACCCAAAAACCTTTATTATGACCTCAATGTTAATTTGAATTGGGTCTCCATTGCCGCAGACGCCGTTCATTGCTTTGCACGTCACGTGAAACATGGAAAACAAGTCTCCAGGACTGGAGTTTGGGAACCATGCTCTAAGACCCCGAGTCTCTGTGCGAGTCTACGGGTCTCTGTGTGACTCTATGAGCCTCCGTGTGAGTTTATGAATCACAATGTGAGGACCACAGAGTAGAACTCAACATTCAATGGGGGGCTTTGAAGCAGAAATCCACCCACATCAACTGAAGCCATTTGCTAGCTAAACGTATCTGTACATAGACTTACAAGGTTGCTATCCATCGCAGAGTTGGAGTGATTAAATAAGTTCATGTCTATGCGTGAGACGGATTTGTAGGAACACTGGACAGAGATGGCGATCGGTGTGGGGAGGCCTTTATCCAGCAGCGGATAGACATTGGCTGGTGATGATGATGATGATTTCTCCTCCAGCCATATGTGAGAGAGACTCGGGCGGATGAGTTTGGGTGTTACGCTGCTGTGCTCAGAGGGGGCCTGGGTATTGGAGAGTGACAGGGAGAGCAGGGCAGACTCACCGCCTGGTAGCACCAGTCCTGCAGCACGTCCAACTGTCCCCGCAACATCGCCTGGGCAGAGACACGGAGACATGCAGGTGAGCGAGCGAAGTCCTGGGTGCACGAGTGAGGATCTGGATGAGCGAGCGAGGTTCTGGATAAGCGAGGTTCTGGGTGAGCGACTGAGGTTTTGGGCCCAGTACCTTGTTTGCTCTGCGTGAGCAAACAAGG